ATGCAAATGACTAGTTGTCTGCAAGGAATATAAATCCTTCCATTCCCCCACCATCCAGTCAGAGCTGAAGAAGCTTCTTGGATGAGAAGTGAAAGGTCTTCAAAAGAAAAACCTCCAAATGGCCTCAACGACCCCCTAAAAGGATGCAAATGACCAGCTGTCTGCAAGGAGTCTCAATCCTTCCACTCCCCACCATTCATTCAGAAGCTGAAGAAGCTTCTTGGAGGAGAAGTGAAAGGTCTTCAAAATAAAAACCTCCAAGTGGCCTCAACGACCCTCTAAAAGGATGCAAATGACCAGCTGTCTGCAAGGAGTCTCAATCCTTCCACTCCCCACCATTCAGTCAGAGTTGAAGAAGCTTCTTGGATGAGAAGTGAAAGGCCTTCAAAAGAAAAACCTCCAAGTGGCCTCAACGACCCTCTAAAAGGATGCAAATGACCAGCTGTCTGCAAGGAGTCTCAATCCTTCCACTCCCCACCATTCAGTCAGAGCTGAAGAAGCTACTTGGATGAGAAGTGAAACCTCTTCAAAAGAAAAAAACTAGAAAGTCCAGTTGCCTCCTGAAAACAGCACCTTTGGGACAACCGTAAGCGGGATGACGGAGAATCTCCACAGATTTTCTACTAACCTTATTTAGCGCCCATACAGGAGAATATTTGAGGCTCAGGGTCGAACTGAAAGGCCTCCCCACCAGCAAACAACGGCCCGATAAGCAGAGATTAACCCCGGGGTGTAAACAATACCCCAATCAAGGAACTACCAACTCAGATGAACAATCGAACAATGAACCACAGCCTGATCAAGGAAGCACCAAGGTTGCATTCCCTGCAGCCTTGTCAAGTCAAACCCCCAACATATAAACAGAACTTAAACCTCCCCTCCACTTCTATTGCGTTCCCTCGCTGGGTCATTGAAACGTCTGCAAGAAAACAGCCAGGTTCAGAGAGCAACAAGGACCCCACAGTCCTCCCCTCCTCCCCCTTCCCCTTCATTCCTTCCCTTCATTCCTACTCCTCTTTTCGCCTCATCCCCTCCTTTTCCTCCTCTTCCCCTTCTCTGTTACACAAGCCCCATCCCCTTCTAGCACTGATGATGTTAACTAGTTGGGTCATGAAACGTCTGCAAGAAAACTGTTATTCTTCCCCTTTTCCCTTCTCCCAATGATGATGTTACCTAATTGGGTCATGAAACATCTCCACCTCCTCTTCTCCTCCTTCTTCCTCTTCTTCTCTCTCTCTCTCCTCCTCCTCCTCCTTTTCCATCTCCTCCTCCTTTTTCTTCTTCTCTTCCCCCTTCCCCTTCTTCTTCTCCCTTCTCCCTTCTCCCTATGATGATGTTACCTAATTGGGTCATGAAACGTCTCCACCTCCTCTTCTCCTCCTCCTTCCCCTTCTTCTCTCTCACTCTCTCCTCTTCCTCCTCCTCCTCCTCTTCCTCCTTTTCTGTCGTCTCCTCCTTTTTCTTCTTCTCTTCCCCCTTCTTCTCCTTCTCCCTTCTCCCTTCTCCCAATGATGATGTTACTTAATTGGGTCATGAAACGTCTCCACCTCCTCTTCTCCTCCTTCTTCCCCTTCTTCTCTCTCTCTCTCTCTCTTCCTCCTCCTCCTCCTTTTTCTTCTTCTCTTCCCCCTTCCCCTTCTTCTTCTCCCTTCTCCCTTCTCCCAATGATGATGTTACTTAATTGGGTCATGAAACGTCTCCACCTCCTCTTCTCTTCCTCCTTCCCCTTCTTCTCTCTCTCCTCCTCCTTCTTTTCTGTCTCCTCCTTCTCCTTTTCCTTCTTCTCCTCCCTCTTCCCCTTCTTCAACATGGGGCAGCCCTTGAAGAGTGTTCGGAGACTCCAGCTGGTCCAGAATGCAGCCGCACGAGCGATTGTGGGTGCACCCCAGTACATCCACGTAACACCTATCCTCCGCGAGCTGCACTGGCTGCCTATTGGTCTCTGGATACGCTTCAGGGTGCTAGTTATTACTTATAAAGCCCTACATGGTATTG